TGTGTTATATATATGTGTGTATGTGTATGTGTGTGTGTGTGTGTGTATATATATATATATATATATATATATATATATATATATATATATATATATATATATATATCTCAGCACTGGTGGGAGGTGTGCGTTCTGCATTGGCACGAGGCCGCAGGCTGAGGGCCTTAGCGCCCCACCAGTGCTAGTATACAGCCATAGCACACTGCTACGACTGTGATTTTGCGTTCATAGAACAGTTTGACGGCACAATCTTGTACATAAAAAAGAAAATCAAACACAGAGAGTCGGAAACCCTTCTGTATTAGGAACTACTTTCTTCCGCCATTCATTCACCTCTGCAGCTGATGTCAGAACAGCAGAAGCTGTTACTAATTCACCAACGTCACTTTAGAGATAGTGTTTGAATGATTCACTATAGCGTAATGTGAAGCGGCGCTTCTGGTGTGTGACCCCCTTAAGATGATGACAAAACAGCTGAATTTTGCTCACATTTTAAGATTATAAGGCTGAACGTGACATGAAAGGCCCTCCGTCTACAGAGATTTCTCACCAGACTGCTGTTGTGTTTGCGATAAGGAGGGACGAGGCTGAATCCAGCTTCTTTTTCGCAGGTTCTTATTGACTCTATCTGGTCCACCTTAAAAACCACAAGGCTTTCATTTTTCAGTTTTTTATTCGTGCTCAAGAGAACACACTGAGCAAGGGCTTACTATGCGGTTCTGGTGCCATCTTGTGGATAGACAACATCAACCGTCTTTGGCAGCCGATGAGGTCTCAGAAAATATTTTAAAATAGGCATTATTCTTATAAATAAACTGCATAATTGCAATCTAAACAACTACATTCTCGACTAAAAAAGCCTTAAACGTACATTTTGCTGTCTAACAGCAGTAATATTTGTCAAACTGTAGCCTGCTTGATGCTTGCTGTATGTGGGCGGAGTAATACACAGAGGTGAAGGGTGAAGAGGCCTTTGTGTGATGTTACTGGCAAAATATCGCATGACTATGAGCCAATCAGATTCAAGAACCAGACAGAACTGTTGTGAGTGTGTGTGGGTGTATATATATATATATATATATATATATATATATATATATATACCCCACACACACACACACACACATATATATATATATACATACACACACATACAGCTGAATTTTTTATGAATTGTGGGGACATTTCAAGGATTTTCATAGTTTTTGTACTGTACAAACTGTATTTTCTGTTTCACTCCCCCAACTCCACCCATTTACCTCTCGAAACACAGTCATTCTATTTGACCTATAAGCCTTTTGAAAAGGGGACATCAGCAAAGTCATCATCGTTTATTATTGCCTTGTAACACCTGTGTCATACCCATGACATTTTGCGCATTATGTCCAGATATGACAAACGCACGCACACACACACACACACACACACACACACACACACACACACACACACACACACACACACACGTCCTCATGCCATCTCCTCTGTTCTGCTGTAGGCGTGGGTCGTGAAGTGCCGTTTATTTGTGCTGCAGACGTGTTTCTTGTCCTTCAGAGTGTGTGTGTGTGTGTGTGTGTGTGTGTGTGTGTGTGTGTGTCTACACAGGCCTGGCTGACTGAGATCTATGAATACGCACAGAAGGATGTGGTCATCATGTTGCTTGGCAACAAGGTAAGTGGGACTTCCTGAAAGAAGTGAACTGAGATCAGCAGACCCTCTTCTGAGGTGCAAATATGTTTTAATGCACACACACACACACACACACACACACACACACACACACACACACATAGTTTTAGATCTGCTTATTTGTTCTGTGCTTGTCTGTTGTGTGTTTGATTTAAGCGATTCGTTTTAGCCACAAGCGTTTCTGCCACACAGGTCTGCTGTAGTTTTAATCTGTTGTTGTGTGGTCAGGGTGTGCTCTGGTTAAACTGCTCAAACTGGTTTTACAGTGGATTAAATAGCGCCCCCTGGTGGACCACTCCAGCCAGAACTCCTCAGTTTGATGTGTTTGAGTTCACTATAGTTCAGATGAAAATGGAAACTGGCACCATTTGCTTAATTGTACTGAAGGCCATGCGTTCAGACACCTTTTTCCTCTCGTTTTCTCGTGATCACAACATAACAAATAGTTATGTCGTACTTCAGACGCACATTTGGGCAACACATTAAAGGCACATGCTCATGATTAATGTACATTTATGATTATATACAGGTATATGATTATATATCATTATTCTAAATAATATTGTTCCCCTCAACTGTTACCATAGAGCGTAGGTTTTATATGGCACAAAAGAAGTTGTTGTATGTATAAACAGATTAAGAAGAACGATGAAGATCCTGCTTTTGCTTTAATGCAGTCTTTCCGAAAGCTATTTACAATTACTTAGTGAATCCCTGCAAATAATGCGATATGAAGCTACTGTATACGTCTCTAGAACATCCTCTTAAAGCAAACCGCAAAAAATGGTCGTAAACTCGAGAAAACTATTTCTGATATGTAGTGATCTTGAAAAAATTAAGTCATTATCATGAGAAAAATATAATAACGCATGACCTCTAAGGAGTTCTGTACATGTGCAAGTTGTGTCTGACCAGATTTCCTCGTCTGAACAGGAGATGTTTTGAAGACTTTGATAAATCTGAGAGTTGACAGCAGATATTGACTACAGTTATAGGGAAATCTAAAAATATATATATTTTCCAACATTCTTTAAAATATCTACTTTTGTGTTTGACAAGAAGAAACTCAAAGACATGACATTTGACCAGAATTTTATGTCATGGTAACAATATGTTTCACAATTTAGTTATTTAAATAGTTACTAATCCCACAAAACCAACAAAAAGAATTACAATAAGCTTAAATACTTGCAAATGAAGGACTTTATTTTGTTTTTATTTTTGCTAACCTTGTTAAATAAAGTTGACATGCACAGTCTTGGATATTTGATGATATTTCCAAAACATTATTAGGCTAAGCTGATGAAGATATCTTTTTTGTTTGTTTGTTTTTAAGAAGTGTTCATTTACAGTTTCGTTTACAGAGTCACGTTGGAGATTTTTGATCAGTTTACCAACTCTGAAAATGCTGTTTAGCCCAAATTTGGTAAAAAAAAATCAAAGCTAAATAACAAATTATGGGCTCTATTTTGACGGTCCATGCGCAGAGTGCAAAACACAGGGCGCAAACGCTATCAGGGCGTTTCAGAACGCATTTTTGCTAATTTAAGGACGGGAAAATCCGCTTTGAGGCGCATGGTCTAAAAGGGTTGAGTTTATTTTTTTAATTAGTAATAGGTGTGTTTTGAGAATAAACCAATTAGAGTCTCATCTCCTATTCCCTTAAAGAGCCAGCTGCGTCACGCCAAGAGCGCATTCACTATTTACAGGACGCAAAGTAAGTCTAAGTGGAGAAAATGAGCATTTCACTAGCAAACAGTTAACAGTTTATTAACAGAAAACAGTTAAACAGAGCATCTACTGCGTGAGAATGAGAGATAATGGATCACTTTCACTTTCGCTCTTGCATAGGGAAACCTTTACACACAGACATCAATTAGCCTATAAAGGATTAATTTTGTTTGTTAAGCGCAAATATTCGTTTCAAAACTATTTCTAAATTCAGTTCTAATTTCCAGCAAACGAATAAATGAACAACAATAACAAAATGTGCTCAAAAACCTGAGTTATATCCTAAAACACATGCTGCGCCCCATATGGTCTAAAACCTGACAGGTGGACAAATCTAAGCTTGTTTTTAATAAAACAAATATAAATATGGATATAATAAATAATACTGCTAATAATAATAACATTATACAGAAGCAAATTGTTCTGAATGAACTGAAAAAGCCTCCCGAGATGAAGAAGACATGAAAGCAGTGATTTTTCATATTTATGTAGGCTGGAAAATAATATGTTTCGTAATATTTTAATCCTTTATATTTATATTCTATATCTATTCTTATTATATCCTATATATATCCTTAATATTTAATTTTTTCATATGTAAAGATATTTGCCTATTGCTCTCTTGTGTGTATTAAGCAGTGCGTAAGCGAGGTGCAACTCTACGCTGGAGTTTAGACCGGGTTTGTTTTGGTCTAATGAAAAATCTATTGTAGTTTCTCAAAATAGCAACGCGCCAGCGGTCCGCCTCAGAACACCTTCCTTTCTAGACCAGAACGCCTATGGGCGCACATATGAGCGCTAATGCATTTGCTATTTAAACAGCGCAGCGCAACGCCTCAAAACGACTCTTGCGCCAAGCCGAAACTAGCAAAAGACTATTGCGCGGCGCCTTGCGCCCCATTGCGCCAGTTGTATGATAGGGCCCTACATTCCAAAGTTGTAGTCGATATCTCAAAAAATGATTGCAGTAATAGACATGACCACCAGGTGTAGATTGAGTCTGTTTACATTGATCATATTAGGGTGCCCCCTATTTTTGTGTATGTTTTGAGGAATATGAATCGTATTTTTTCATACTTTTGAAAATATTTGTAAAGTAGACATCCATTTCCAAAGTAGTACAAGCAGTTTGGTGGTATTTGATTTAAATTCACCCTCTAAAAAACGTGGATTGCTGTAGCAAAGTAATGCTTTACCACCCTAAAGAGAATATTTGAACAAATGGTGTTATTTAACCCCTTAACTGTCACCACTTTTTGAGCATAAACATGAAAATGACATCATGGCAATCTTCAATGCTTTGGTGCAGAGGTTTACTGTAACTTTGGACTCATTTTCGAGAAGACTGATGTCAGACTGTAGCTGAAAAAGTTTAAATAGTGTAGTAAAACATCAGTAATGCGCCTGTGTGTTTATTTTCTTTACCATTTTACATTAAATGTGTATTTTGAAAAACATGTTTAGCCTAACATTGACAGAAAAATCAAAGTTAAATATCTGAGCAAACATGACCACTCAGTTTCCATTGGTGAATATACAAAGGCGCCCTCCATGTTTCGAGAATTATGAACCATATTTTTTTCATACTTTTGACAATATTTGTAAAGTAGACATCCATTTCTTAAGTGGCACGGACAGTTCAGTGGTATTAAATTTAAATTTACCCTCTAAACAAACATTTAAAAAAGTGCATTGCTGTAACAAAGTAATGCTTTACCACTCTGAAGAGAATATTTGAACAAATGGTGTTTTTTAACCCCTTAACTGCCCCCACCTTTTGAGCATAAACATGAAAATGACATCATGGCAATCTTCAACGCTTTGGTGCAGAGGTTTACTGTAACTTTGGACTCATTTTCGAGAAGACTGATGTCAGATTGTAGCTGAAAAAGTTTAAATAGTGTAGTAAAACATCAGTAATGCGCCTGTGTGTTTATTTTCTTTACCATTTTACATTTAATGTGTATTTTGCAAAACATGTTTAGCCTAACATTGACAAAAAATCTAAGTTAAATATCTGAGCAAATTATATTCTGAAGTTGATATCTCAAACAATGAGCTTTCAGTAGGATTTTGTTTGGATGCAGTACCAAACATGACCACTGGATGACACTCAGTTTCTATTGGTGACCCCTATGTTTTGAGGAATATGTAACATATTTTTTTATACTTTTAACAATATTTGTAAAGTAGACAACCATTTCTAAAGTAGTATGGGCAGTTTGGTGGTATTAGATTGAAATTTGCGCTCTAAAATCATCTCAAAAATGTAGATTGCTGTAGCAAAGTAATGCTTTACTACTCTGAAGAGTATCCATGTCGCAAATTAAATTTATAAATAACTGTTGCTCAGTAACATTGATCAAAAATCAGTCATCAGGTGTAAAAACTAGACATTTTAAGCTTTCAAATGATATATAGTCATGATTGCTTTGTTTAGACTATAGTATTATAGTTCAAAAATGTAACTGCCAATGCTCCCGCAGGTTGAAGAGTAATTGTGTTTTAATTTACTACTCTTAAATAACAAACTAATTTTAAATATGTATTAAAAATACTTAGACCTTTCCAATGATATAAAATTTGTCATAATTAGATTAGCATTTAATTGCAATATAGGGAAGTAAACTTAAGCGTCCCGCTGTCTTAAGGGTTTAAGAAAAGTGGCATGTAAATAAATGACTTGTGATTGTGTTCTTGCAGTCAGACATGGCAGCTGAGAGAGTCATTACACATGAAGAAGGAGAAAAGCTGGCCAAGGTATGAGCGTACATGTATTTACCATACCATACTGTTATAAAAGATTAATAAACATTACGAACTCAATGCTTCTGTTATATAGGAATATGGCGTCCCTTTCATGGAGACAAGTGCCAAGACTGGAGTCAATGTGGAGCTTGCTTTCCATGCCATAGCAAGGTGAGAGACTTTTACGTCAACATTTCAACAATCGATGCTCCCCTTTTTGAACATAAACATAAAAATGACATGTTGAATTGTATTAAATGATTTAACCTTGGTGTCATTTTAAAGATATCGGATTATAGCTGAAAAAGTTTATTAAAACAAAAGTAATGCACATTTGTGCTTGTTTTTATCATTTTACATTACATATGTATTTTATGAAACATGTTTTAGCTTGAGGTAAATATTTGAGCAAATTATATTCCAAATTTGAAGTTAATATCTCAAAAAATGAGCTTTCAGTAGGATTTTGTTTGGGCGCAGTAACAAACATGACCACTGGATGGCATTCAGTTTCTTTTGGTGGCCATAAAAGAGCGCCCCCTATGTTTTCAAGATTTTTTAACATAGGTTTGATAATATTTGTAATGTTGACATCAAATTCTAAAATAGTATGGGTAGTTTGGTAATATTTGATTTAACTTCATACTCTAAAAACATCTAAAAATGTGAATTGCTGTAGCAAAGTAATGCTTTACGATTATGAGTATCCTAGTCACAAATTAAGTGAATAAATAACTGTTGCTCATTAACATCTATCAAAAATCAAATCAGCTTGGTCTCATTTTCAAAGACGGACTTAGCTGAAAATGTTCAAAAAGTTTAGTAAAACATAAGCGCTTTTGTTTATGCAAAAAATAAAATGATACATTTGTATAGTTTTACATAAAATATGCATTGTACAAAACATTTTAGCCTAAGATTTATCAAAGTTAAAAATCTGTGTAAATGATTTTCCAAATTTGAAGTTGATATCTCAAACAATGAGCTTTCAGTAGGATTTTGTTTGGGTGCAGTACCAAACATGACCACTGGATGACACTCAGTTTACATTGGTGATCATATAGGGGCGCCTTCTGTTCTGAGGATTTTTACAAATATTGTTGACAATATTTCTAAAGTAGACATCAAGTTATAAAGAAGTATGGGTAGTTCGGTGGTATTTGATTCGAATCTAACCTCTAGAAACATCTAAAAAATGTGGATTGCTGTAGCAAAGTAATGATTTACGATTATAATGAGTATCCCTGTTGCAAATTAAAGTAATAAATAACTGTTGCTCATTAATATCTTTAAAAATCAGATCAACTTGGCCTCATTTTAAAGAAGACGGATGTCAGAATGTAGCTAAAAATGTTCTAAAAGTTTTGCAAAACATAAGTTAAGCGCATTTGTCTATGCAAATAATAAAATAATGGATTTATATTTGTATATTTTACATAGAATATGTATTTTACAAAACGTGTTTTAGCCTAAGTTTGATCAAAGTTAAATATCTAAGCAAGTTATATTCCAAATTTGAAGTTGATATCTCAAAAAATGATTTTGTTTGGGTGCAGTACCAGACATGACCACTGCATGACATTCAGTGTGCATTGGTGACCATACAAGTGCGCTTCCTGTGTTTTAAGGGGTATAACCTGCATTTTTTTTCATACTTTAGACAATTTTTGTGAAGTAGACATCAAACTATAAAGTAGTATAGGTAGTTCAGTAGTATTTGATTAAAATTTAACCTTTAAAAACATCTAAAAATGTAGATTGCTGTAGCAAAGTAATGCTTTAAGATTATAATGAGTATGCTTTTTGCAAATTAAAGTAATAAATAATTGTTGCTCCATAACATCTATCAAAAATCAGATCAGCCTGGTTCCATATTAAAGAAGACGGACGTCAGATTTTTGCTAAAAATGTTCAAAAAGTTTAGTAAAATATAAGCAACCTTGTTTATGCAAATAATAAAATGATGCATTTATATGTCTATAATTTTACACAGAATATGTATTTTACAAAACCTGTTTTGGCCTAAGTTTGATCAAAGTTAAATATCTGAGCAAATTATTTTCCAAGTTTGAAATTGATATCTCAAAAAATGATTTTGTTTGGGTGCAGTATCAAACATGACCACTGGATGACGTTCAGTGTCCGTTAGTGACTATACAAGTGCGCCCCCTGTGTTTTAAGCTGTCTAACCTGCATTTTTTTTCATACTTCAGACAATATTTGTGAGACATCAAATTCTAAAGTAGTATGGGTAGTTCTGTGGTATTTGATTCAAATTAACCTCTAAAAACATCGAAAAAATGTGAATTGCTGTAGCAAAGTAATGCTTTACGATTATAGTGAGTATCCTTGTTGCAAATTAAAGTAATAAGTAACTGTTGCTCCATAACATCTATCAAGAATCAGATCAACTTGGTCTCATTTTAAAAAAGACAGACGTCTGATTTGTATAAATGTTCATAAGTTAGCAAAACATAAGTTAAGCACCTTTGTTTATGCAAATAATAAAACGATGCATTTATATTTCTATAAGTGTACATAGAATATGTATTTTACAAAACATGTGTTGGCCTAAGATTGATAAGTTAAATATCTGAGCAAATTAAATTCCAAATTTGAAGTTGATATCTCAAAAAATGATTTTGTTTGGGTGCAGTACCTAACATGACCACTGGATAACATTCAGTGTGCATTGGTGACCATGCAAGTGCACCCCATGTGTTTTAATGAGTATAACCTGCATTCTTTCATTCCTTTGACAATACTTGTGAAGTAGACATCAAATTATAAAGTACTATGGGTAGTTTGCTGGTATTTAATTTGGATTTAGCCTGTAAAAATCAACAAAAAAAGTTTATACGTGGATTGCTGTAGCAAAGTATTGCTTTACCACTTTAATAATTAACCTTGTTGCAAATAAATAAATAACTGTTGCTCCGAAATATCTTTCAAAACAAGATATTAAAACTGGGAATTTTAAGCTTTCGAATGATATATAGTTTGTCATGATTGCTTTGTTTAGATTATAATATTATTGTCTAAACATGTAAGCATAAATGCTCTCGCAGTATGAAGGGTGACAGTAAATGACTTTTAATCTGTTACTCTTCCTACAAAACAAACTGGTAAATTATGCATTAAAGTCTTAGACATTTCCAACGATATACAGTTTGTCATGATGAGATTAGGATTTAATTGTAAACAAGTGAAGTAAAATATTAAATAGAATTAGAGATTGAAAAGAGCATTACACGTTATGACATTGACACTTAATTGCATGTTAATTGCAATTAAATGGAAATGTTTTATAATTTCAATTGAAGTCAGGTGAACTTTTGGGTTTTTGACCCACTTAAGTAAGACCTGAATCTATCTGAAAAGCATATTTCGTTAACTTAAATATGCTTAATATATATTGAAATGTGTTTTAAATATGTTTGTAAATAAACATCTGTAATAAAGATGAAGTAAACACTTAAACTATGACTTTTACCTTTCATGTTTTACCATTTATTCATTATTGAAAAGTTACTGATGACACACAATAATATACAGTAGTTGATAAATATTTTAAAAGTTTAATACAAAAATGATTCTTTAGGTCCAAATGAGTGAGTATACAGATATTGAAGCATAATGAGCCCTCAGAAACAATCACGAAAGTGTGTCTCTTTAAGTACAAAGTGGCCTTTTATTACATCAATATTATATTATCTGCAAGTACTGCACAGCTAAAGTACACAAGTGCACGTTCAATACTCTTACAGTAAGTGCACTTATTCTTCACAATCCACTTCATAAGAAGTTCAAGGCGTTTTTGTCCAGTGTTTGCTTTGCCTGGAAGAACGTATTTTATTGCTAATTACTTATTTATATTAGTATTTAAATGTGTTTAGTATTCATTACACTGCTCACTGGAATACTTGATTGTGATTGGTCAATCATGACATTTCATGATATGTTATATTAGGGATAAAGTATATCCAGGACGTTGTTATCACAGAATAAAGCCAGACAGGTTGTGTAAGTGTGGAGGGTTTATTCTGCAAAAACACAACCTCCTGGATGTACTTTATCCCACTTATTACATGGCTACTTGCCACAAAACATGAAAGTTAGACACAAAATGTTGTTCTGAAGAATAATAATTGATTATTTAATTAAACTCAAAGCTGACAGAAACGAAATAGGGTGGAGTATACACTAACCTGCATATTATTCAAACACTAGATGGCGCCAGACGGTCAAACACAAACCTGACAGAAACTAAAACAGCTGATAAAGTATACACTAACCTGCGCATTATTCAGACACAAGATGGCGCCAAAGAGTCAACACAAGCTAAAAAACAGCTGATGGAGTATATACTAACCTGCGCATTATTCAGACGCAAGATGGCACCAAAGAGTCAACACAAGCTAAAAAACAGCTGATGGAGTATACACTAACCTGCACATTATTCAGACACAAGATGGCGCCAAACAGACAAAACACAAAGCTGATAGAAACAAAAACAGCTGATGGAGTATACACTAACCTGCGCATTATTCAGACACAAGATGGCGCCAAAGAGTCAACACAAGCTAAAAAACAGCTGATGGAGTATACAGTAACCTGCACATTATTCAGACACAAGATGGCGCCAAACAGTCAAAACACAAAGTGGACAGGATAAAACAGCTGATGGAGTATACACTAACCTGCGCATTATTCAGACACAAGATGGCGCCAAACGGTCGAAAACACAAAGCTGACAGAAACGAAAACAGCTGATGGAGTATACACTAACCTGCGCATTATTCAGACACAAGAAGGCGCCAAAGAATCTAATTACAAGCTGAATGGAGCATATACTAACCTATGTATATTATTCATTCACAAGATGGCGCCAAACAGTCAAAAACATTTAAAAAATCACTGCTTGATAGACAAGCGGATATAAATGTGGATGCAAGTATGTGGATGAAATAAGCGGAATACAGCACATCTAAATTCCTCCAGTCTTACACAACACCTGCTGATAATCCTGTCAGGCTTTATTCTGCGAGAACGGCCATCTGGATGTACATTATACCTAATATTTATGTTATTTTCAACCATTTCTCTGTCTTTCTCTTCCGCACAGAGAACTAAAGCACAGAAACCTGGAGCAGCCTCACGAGCCCAAGTTCAAGATCCACGATTACATCGAGTCGCAGAAGCAGAAGTCGAACTGCTGCGGCGGAATTATGTGATCCTGATCTCAACGACACACTTATTAGTGCACAAAGACACCTATGTGTGTGTGTGTGTGTGTGTGTGTTTATGCGATATATGAGGACAAAATGTGTATAATGACCTAGGTATTACAATGTTAAGGTGATTTATGAGGACATGCCTAGTGTCCTTGAAATCTTAACTGGGTTTTTTGTGTTCCCTCTGACCCTGCTGAAAAATCCAGATTAAACCAGCCTAGGCTGGTTGGCTGGTTTTAGCTGGTCGACCAGGCTGGTTTTAGAGGGGTTTTGGCCACTTCCAGGCTGGTTTCTAGTCATTTCCAGCCTGGTCTTAGCTGGTCAGGCTGGAAAGTGACCATCTAAAACCAGCTAAAACCAGCTAAACCCAGCAACCAGCTTGACCATCCTGGTTTAAGCTGGACATAGCTGGTTTTGGCTGGGCTCCTAGCCTGGCTAGGCTGGTCAAGCTGGATTTAGCTGGTCATCTTCAAGCCTGACCAGCTAAGACCAGGCTGGAAATGGCTGGAAACCAGCCTGGAAGTGGCCAAAACCCCTCTAAAACCAGAGTGGTCGACTAGCTAAAACCAGGCAACCATCCTAGGCTGGTTTAAGCTGG